ATTGTATATTACATGATTTGTATATTCGATTCTAATCAACTGTCTTATATTATTATAGTAGATTATTTGCTGTTATTGCATTAATGAATAGAACTTCTTATATTTTTTTTATATTTAATGTGCTAATAGAGAAATAAATTTTATTTTCTTAAGTCAGTACTACATTTCAACCTTATTTATAGCTAAAATACTTTAAGTTTAATTAGAATATATAAAAATGAGAGAGAAAATTAATTAAACATTGGATATTGATAAAGCGGGAAAGGATAGGTACTTCTATTTGATGTTTTGTATCTGTTCACATTGTATATTGTATGTATTGTGCACTAATCTTTGGAATATAATTTACTTTAATAATGGATCATAATGAATAATATATGAATCAAAGTGATTTGTCAAAAATATTATTTACACTTGACTACCTAAAGCGACACCATGTATGTGTATGTATCAATGTATGAAATGACGAATATATAAAACATATAAATCAATTTTATTATGAGGCCTATATAACCAGAAAATCTTATTATTTACTTATGATTGGTATTGTTATTTTTAATATGGTATAGTTTAGAATTGCGTCATTTCAATTACATCACATGAAACAAAGTGGAACTTATAAAAGTTTCAATTTGACCAAATTTATTTAGTCAATAAATACCCAGTAATTTTATAATTGCATCCATGAATAGTAATACCAATCAGGTAAATAGAGTACTCTATCCATTTAAATCCAAAGATAGTAATATTATACATTTATACTTTTATTTTACTAGTAAGCTTAATACTTTAAAACCTGTTGAATACAAAACTGATTTGATTACACACAGTATATATAGATCTGATATATATATATTATATATGTACTATGCGAATTTTATCTTCAATACAATGATAGTTGGCTGACAAGTAGATATATGTAAACACAATTACAATTTCTTATAATAAAAAGAATGAACATAATTAATTTTTCGCCGAATATTACAATTTATTAATATATTAAAAATCTAAGTCGAATGTATGTAGCTTACCTTCAGACGGATATGAAAATTATAATTCATTTTCATAACCGTTCAACATAACACTTATAGCGCTTATATAGTGTCATAATTAGAATGTGTATGTTGGCTTAAAGTACGATCGACAATTATTTATTATGAACTATATCGAATGTTATGTACAACTCATTTTTTAAATTAAAATATATATGTGTATATCAATAATTTAATTCGAATTTATTTTTTTTCAATACAAAGATTATATAGATATAGTAGAACATATTTACATACATGTGGTCGTGTTTAAGACTACGAAAAAAATAAATTACTATTGAAATATTCCGTTTAATTATAAATGGTCTGGCGAATTTATTTTATTTATCCTATTAACATATTAATATATGATAATTAAGCCAGCTTTAATCTTCTCTTTATCGGATATTCGTGGTTGAAACTATAACTAGTTTTAATTTAAGATAAAAATATTTTAAATTGAAAATAAGAAAAGTAATAAGTTCTGTAAAAATTGAAAAAAAAATACAAATTCAAATATCCACAGCGAATTAATATAAAATATATACAGTTTCAATCTTATGTGAATATATAATTTGTGAAATGGATTAAATAAAAATGTATCGTTTTCTGTCTACACAAAAAGTATTTAAAAAGTTAAACATTATATGAAGCTATTTAATTTGCTAGGGATTTTGAAATTATCCATGGCGAATTTAGTGAAAGTGCATTGTTCTATCCTGGCAGAACTTGAATGAACGGAGAAAGATAGGACGCATCGCACCGGAAGACGATAAATAAAGCGTAAAAATAACGAAGTGATACCGACATTACGAGAAAAACAAAACGGAGGAGATAATAAAAGGCACAGAACACAAGGGATGGTACAGCAACTATAAGCGGAGAATGTAAAAGTAGATATAACTTTGAAAGAGTGTTTACGCGCCAGTAAGTTTCACGAGTCGGCTACGCCACTGGAAGAGCGCTCGAAATAGCGGCTTGATACCGAATGCACGCTAGTTCTATTGCTATATTCCAAGCGATTCACCGTATTCCATCATACGCGCCGACGGGAAGCACGTATTTATTTCGTATTCAACTACGAATTTTTAGGTTGTTTATTGGCAACGCTATCTATCGTTGCTCCACTCCCCTTATCACTATATTTAACGTTTATCCATCGTATCTGATATCGTATCATTGAATACGTGCCGTTGTCTATCGATACATCCCCAATATAATTTTTAATTCAAAGAAATATCCCTTAAAGGAATTATCTGTCATTTGCCGCACTTTTCAAAACTGGATCTGGTGATATTCGAAAAGTAATACTTGTGCGTATTTATGAAGTTTCCGTTTACGTTAGCCGGATCTATGCTACGTAATCTTCTGAAACAATTTGTGCATTGACGGAGGAATGGGTTTAACGCAATTACATGTTTTCTAACGAACCAGAGGCGACCTGGATTTATTGCACTGGCGGTGAGAAGAATTTCTGGTATGTATTACCACTTCCAATTTTGAATTGTACACTTTATCTCCGAAACGAGTACTTTAATATGTAGATACCTTTTTAAATGCACGTAAGGTTATATTCTCGGCGTTTGAATAAATGTATTAAATTAGTTCGTCTCCACTTTTTAGAAGCATACGTATTTTAAATTGTGAAAACTAAACGTGTTCGATGAAAATACGGTCCTTGACCTCGTTTTGTATTGTATGCCGTTCTAATGTCTTTTATAGGTTAGGGAATGTGTTTATTATGGTATCGTATTTATCGGAAACACCGAATTGTTGACAGTGCTATTATGACCGATAATCGAAATAATTTCGATAGTCAGTTTTTGCCGATCAGTGTTTTGTTTCTGTCATATCATACGAACAATGAATATTGTTCGTATTATCGAGTTGTATACATAGTTCTTAGAAAAATCTGACATCAGCTAACAGGAAGCCCTGTTCATTCTACACTTATACACCTATACGTATTTTTATCGAGAGTGACACCGAGCCTCGTTTATGATCGTGAAATATAAAATCGGAGTACATTTTACGATGTAGTATAGTTTTATACAATTCAAAGTAAAAAAATAGAACGACCAATATGAATGGAAAGCTGCCAATTACTTTTAATATTATTTTTTTTAACGCCGTTGCGCAGACAGAGGTAATGAAAAATGGATACCATGACACAGAAGTAGAAAATGTGCTACTAGCGAGAGATACGTTCTTGAGTAGTATGATTCAGAACGTGCTGCCCATATTAAGTATTATATTTTTATGCGTTCCTGCTTTCTTCGTTTCGTAATGTCGCCGTGAATTCCGTTTGCTGTTCCACTTCTTACTCCAGTTTAACTTTTATTATTACAAAAATAGTTTTTACATACACTAGAATTAACAGAATTTTTGTAACAGTTTAATTCAAGACACTCTTAGCTGAAAAAATGTAAATTATTTGAACGAATTCGATTAGCGTTGTTTCAAGAAATATACATTTTTTAATTAACTATAAAATACGTATCACTGCTATGGCAGCTAAAATAGCAATCTGTGTTTTGCATTCTTAACCTTTATCCCAATCTTCTGGTAAATTAAAGTTCTGATAGAATTAACGTGTCCCCATGGTCAAGGTCGGGACTTAATTTGCATGAGTTCGGTCGCGTGTGTGACGTCTGTATCATATTTTAGCAGACAGGCAGAGACAAAATGGTACTATGTATATATATATATATATATATATATATCCGAGGGTATCTATATTTGTACATGTTATCAAAAAAGATTGTTAAGCATTGTACGTTCCAGAACTTCATCAATTACAAAGAAAATCTCTAAAAACTATTGTCGATACGAGAAAACGTACTGCTCAATTAAGAAAATGAACAGTATTTATATCAAAGGCAAAAAACTCATGTGTTAAAAGATTTATCTATAATTTCATAACTCCGTGAACATCTATTAATAATGATAGATGTATTTAATTAATATCCTGTTTAACAGTCATTATCTGATCGAAACCTTATGTCATTGTTTGTTTACAGTTATGTGTTTTGATACAAGCTGTTTAAATTTGTAATTTGTGTTTACACTAACACAATGTATATAGAACACGGGCAACGGAATCAGAGCGCAATTCCTCGAAGTCGGTGTCTCTTTATCTCGGTCGTCATGTTTGTTTTCATTGCACTAGTGATGGCACACGGGTCTTTGACTTCTAGCGAACTGGTTGCGTCTATTCATTTAAATCCACGAATGGAACCGTTGCGATAGCTTCTGAATGAACGTAAAATGCACTCTTTCTGGCGCACCGTTAACTGTGCCGGTACGGTGACACCGCTCGGAGGGTTAATGAACATAAAAGACCCATCATTTGAACTTCCGAGATTGAACACTTTGAATTAAGTATTGTATCGAGCGTCGAACGGATTTTAACCATTCACAAAAATTGCATGCCCATGCGCAACGGAAATCGAAATTGTACAGGATATTCCTGAAATAAGGGATCAAACTTAAGAAACTTATTGCTCTTGAAATAGTAATAGGAAATGATACACAGTCTGTTGCTACCTGTTTATAACATATTTAGGGAAAAAGACTTTATATCTTTTGCAATATTTCTTTTTGAATTATTATGAAGATGAGGGATTAATTGATTAATGATGTTAATGTACAAACACTTCTTTTGTGTCATTCGTTTGGAGAACACTCATTAATTATAAATCCCCCTAAAAATGTATATCTTGAGTGATTCTCTTTTTATTAATTACACAATCAGTTGAAAATTCATTATGGCTAATGAAACGATAATATTCAATGAACTGTATATGTTTAAGTCAAATTTAATTTTTTTAGATTAATTAAGGAAAACGAAGTTCGGTAGAACCTTATTGTCAGTTATCAATTTTTAATGACGCTCAGCCGATAAGAGCGCCTTTAAAAAAATACATTTTCGTTGCGTAAATAGTTCTGAACAGTTACGTATGGTTTTTCCAGCCGACGTGGAACAACGGCACAATGTCGACCACGCTCGTTTAAGGTATCACGAAGCAAATGATGAACCGGTAGACAATGATTTTTCATACGGACTGACTATCGGTATTCAAATTCACACGTGCTTTTATTTCTACCGCTGCTTCTCCACGGCTTTATCATGACGAGTGTTGTTCCGCTCACTGATAAACAACTCCATCAGTTGGTAAGTGAAGCACGTGAGAAACTAAGCAAGATACTTTCCAAAACTTTCTACTAATTGCATCTTATGAAATTCTGGTATGTGTTTGTTGTGTAATAAAGCGAAGTGGTTTCTAAATTTTTAGAGTATCAGTATCGGGAAAGCTGTGAATCCTGCGGAAACCCCAGTGAAGGAGAAACATGTGCGAAGTATCCTTTCTCTAAAATAATACATTTTTTTTTGTTAAATGAAATTTCTGTAATATTCATAATATTAACAGAAATATTGATTTCTTATTTCTCCTACACCTCATGTGTAAAAAATGTATGTCTATTAGATCTTTGAGATCTATAAGCGTTTGCGGACTTTTTGAATTTAGTGTGTATTAACACATTGCGTACGATGCTCTGCTCGTGCAACGCACTTCCGGGGCTCGCACATTTTTAGGCGATCCAGAAACAATTTATACGATGCATATATGCACTTTTTTAATTCGCATTTGGTATTATATTCACGTAAGGCAGTCTTAAATATTACTATATATTTTTACGGACTTTCTGCGAACTTTGTAATAACAAAATGCTGTACAACAATAAAACACTTTATAAAGTACGATACACGATCGACACAGAGCTACCGATGTAATGGCTATACTGACTGACTGATTTTTATATTCTCGGAATGTCGACATTCATCTTTTTTCGCTAACCATTTATTAGGAGAATACGCGAGACTTCGTTACTCCGATAACGTAACAAGAAAATCTATTTTTAATTTCTTAAATCATGGATTGAGTCGAAGAAACCTGAAAACGAGATATCTCGTCGCCCGGCCACAATGTTCGGCTTGCTAAAGATGAGATATCTCGTCACCCGTAGGCAATGTGTTAATATTGGATCTCTAATCGCAGATAGTACTCATTATATTTTGCAAATATAAAAATGTATTGAGAGTAAATGAATGGACATTCGTTTATTTGTTATATGTTACAAGTCATTTATTATTTTGAATTATATACAAATTGATTTTTTCGATTACACTGTATTATACCTTATAGAAACATAGGCGCGATTATTGGTACATATCAAGAAAAGAGTGGAATGATCTTTTGGATGTACATGTTAAGGCAGCCTCTACAAGAGAATCAAATAGTCGCGTGGAAATTTTGTCATGTTTTACACAAAATACTGCGGGAAGGTCACCCAAAAGTGATTCCAGACTCTCAGCGGTACCGGGCGAAACTAGAGGACATTGGGAAACTATGGCAACACCTTCGAGAAGGTTACGGCCAGTTGATTCAGTTATATATAAGACTGTTGATAACGAAATTAGACTTTCACAAGAGAAATCCACGGATACCGGGGAATCTTCAAGTAACGGCGGAGGAATTGGAAGCTATCGGAGAAAATGACATCAATGTATAGTAAGTTCGTTAGAGAAAATACAAAACCGCTTCGATGATAGACCACTCTTCAGAACTGAATTTTATCCAATTCTGTGGTACGATTTTTTTTCTTTTTCAGTTTTCAAATGTCAGTTGAAATGTTCGACTATATGGATGATATTTTAAATTTACAACGCGCAGGTGGGTATGCGCTAAATCTTGTTATATAGCTCCAACTTAAAACTTCAATGAACTGAAAAGTGTTCTTTTCATTTTGCTTGATAGTTTCTCAGTGATCCTTTTGTTGTGCCAGAGTACACATTTACCAATTCGTAGTTTTGGTTTCAGTTACCACTTCGTTGATGAATACACCTTCGAATTCCATGACCGTTAGCGGACAGTGTCGACTAGCACCATTAATACCATGCGTCTTAGATGCATCGCAGCTCTATGATTATTGCGTGAAAATTTTATTCAAACTACATAACGCTTTGCCAGCTGACACTTTAGCTGGTCATCGTGACCGATTCTCCAAACAGTTTCATGAACTGAAGAAATTTTATAATACAGTGAAACAAAGGCAGTATTTTAAGTCACTTATAACTATACCTTCGTTACCAGAGGTAAGTGTGCCGTTTTATCCAAATAATTGATCGTTCCGGTAAACACCGTGGACTTATAAAATTCGAGAATAGCGAGTTTTCATTAAAATTTAAATTACATTTAATTTTATTGTTCTAGAATCCACCAAACTTTTTAATACAATCAGAACTACGGACATACGTCACACCGAGAGTCGTTTTGCCACCAGAAGAGTCTTTGGATAGCGAAACAGTTGTGGATAGTCTAATTGATACATCTGACACGAGTTCGTTACCCGGCGATCAACTGGATTCAACACGAAATGGTTCAATTTCTCCGGACACAATAGCAGAAAGGTAAATCGAGGCATATTTGAAATTTAAACATTATTTTATTATTTGTCTTTGCAATGAAGAAATATTATCATTACTCATTTGAATTTTAGAGAAAGTCTTATCGATCATTTACATCAAGAAAATAGTCGCCAAAGACAAGAACTGCATCGCGTATTGACCGAGCATCAGCAAATTGTGGAAAAGCTCCAGATGCGAGTGACACAACTTGAATCTAATTTGTTTACCAAGGTAGAAACGTTATAAGCAATTGTTGGTATAATGTTAAACAAACACGGTAAATATACGTTTTTTCTGTAAATGTTTAGTGTGACGAGATAGAACAAGAGAAACAAATTAATCAAGATTCTTTGAAGCAAAAGGCAGACATGATGGTAAAAGTTCATGAAAGTGAAGGTTGGTGAATTCAGAATCTTGTATTTTAAAATACATGTGTAATATATTTATTACTTATTCCTTTTTTTCAGTAAAGTATAAAACTTTGGAAGAAAAGTTCCAAAAGCTGAAAGATGTGTATGCGAAATTAAGGGAGGAACATATCAGTTTAATTAGAAAAGTAAAAATTTTATTTCTTGAAATGTTTAAAAATACTACATTAATACTGAATGATTTTATCTTTTATTTTACAGAAAGCAGATGTAGACAAGCAACTTGGGTTACTGAAAATGTCGCAAGAGGAAGCACAACGACGACGAATCGAGGTAGAACGTAGACTCGATGAGCTGGTGCAGGCCCCAGCCATAAATGAACAAGAAGGGCAAAAGATCGTCGAAGCGCAACAGGATTTGGACGACATGAAACAACAACTGGATACCACGAAAGCTGAAAACTTGGTTAATAGCTTTCTTTTGATTCAAAGCTTACGTTACTATTCTTTTATTTCGTTCCGGTAAAAATGTAATATTTTAGGCGTTGATTGCCAAAAATCATTTTATAACTTCTGAAAAAACGGCTTTAGAAGGCGACCTGCATGATTTATTAGCACAGAAAGAAGAGTTAGATTTAAAGATTGAAAAACTAGAAGTTGAGACTGAGCGATGCCGCAATGAAATGAATGTACGTGCTGATACTATGCTGTATGAGTTATTGTGTAAGTATTCTTAATTATTCTTTAGCAATGTGCTGATAAATAAATTAGGGTTGTATGCGTAATATTACACGTTTGTTTCAGTAAATTGTATATCTGAAGCAGAAGATATAATACAATATTCGTTGAGTGCTATAGACAATCCAGCAATGTCTGATTTAACTTGCACACCTCAGTACCTTGAACGGTTAGAGGAATCGACAGTAAAATCGTTAGATGTATTAGATGCAACGTATACTGGTTATGTATGCGATACAACGAAAGGAAAAATGCTCATTAAAAGTGCAATACATGTTGCCTATATTTTGGGACTCTACTTGATTCATGCAAAATCTACATCGAATACTTCTATCGATATCGCATTGGGCGATAGTAAGTTAGAATAGTGTTTAAAGTTAACTCTTTGAGTGCTATTGACGTGTATATATGTCCGGTGAAAGTCATCGCTGTGGACTATACACGCATATATGCGTTGTTCGATCTTTTCAATCTCACACGTGTCCCGGTAACAATTGCAAGTGTATCAAATGAATATACGTGTTTTTTATTTATGTTTTATTTGACGAAACTGAAGAATAACAATTAAAACTTAATTATGCCTTGTATGAATTAACATACTGCATCGATCTTCAGACGATAAGCTAAGCAAAATAATATCCTGTTCACACGGAACGTTTCGGCTGCGAATATTCAACACTCAAAGGGTTAAATAAAATTCGGCTAATATAGCATTTCTTATTCTACATTACATCTTATTTTAGAATTGACTGATGAATGTAAACAATTAGGAGTACAATCTTTAACTATGTTTAGTTACATAAAAGAAAAATCACCGATGACTGTTGGCCAAATTAATGACGTAAGACAACAATTTAAGAAAATATGTGAACTCGCTGCCACGCTGTCTAGTGGCCAGGGGAACGTTGAAGTAATAGGCAGTTTAGTGGAAAAGGAACTTTTAAGCATGGATAAAGCAATAGAAGAAGCTGCCAACAGAATACAGGTATATTGTGCTTTGCCGTGTTAATTAAAACACTGTTTTGTATGGTAACATATTTCGTAACATTTAATCAGGATATGTTGGAAAAATCGCGAGCTGCGGACTCAGGATTAAAATTGGAGGTAAACGGGAAAATTTTGGATTCGTGTACAGAACTGATGAAGTGTATTAGAAAGTTAGTTCAAAAGTCACGATTTTTGCAAGCCGAAATCGTGGAGCAAGGAAAGGTACGAACTTTGTATTTATTATTATTATTATTATTATTATTATTATTATTATTATTATAATAAGTGGTTAAAATATTGGAAATTTTTTTAATATTAGGGTACAGCATCTGCTACAGAATTCTATAAACGTAATCATCAATGGTCTGAAGGACTTATATCAGCAGCGAAGGCAGTTGCGATGGGTGCTAATTTGTTACTGTAAGTATAAACGATCTATCGTAACATATTATTTTTTAACTACAAAATGTATTGATGCACACAGGGAAGCAGCAGACAAAGTTGTTGCTGGAAATGGTAAATTTGAACAACTGGTCGTTGCGTCGCAGGGCATTGCCGCGTCAACAGCTCAGTTAGTAGTTGCAAGTAGAGTGAAAGCAAATAGGAATAGCAATAACTTGGCTGCGCTTTCTGAAGCATCGAGGGATGTGACACAAGCAACAGGAAGCGTAGTGGCGACTGCTAAAAATTGTAGTCAACTCGTTGAAGAAAATGGTAATTGTTTCTTTACATACATATAATGCACGAATAAATTTACTTTCTTCGATATTTTCTTCCTTTTTCTTACAAAAGACACACAAGACTAAAATGTTTAATATTTCCAATATTTTATAGATGATTTAGATATTTCTGGGCTAAGTCTGCATCAAGCTAAGCGATTAGAAATGGAGGCGCAGGTTCGCGTACTGGAATTAGAGCAGGCTTTGGAAACAGAAAGATTACGCTTAGCTGCATTACGTCGCTACCACTATCAACTTGAAGGTGAAAAATAATGATTAGTACGTATTACAAGAAAGTTAGTAATTAATATCTATTTTGGATGTTAAATAATTTAAGTTAAACGATTATATTCTTTACAGAGTTGTAAGCGCTACGTAAGAGTTATATTAACTTCGAACTATCTCATCGGCATTAAAAAGTATGAAACGAAACTTTTATCAATGGAAAGTAAACAGTTAAATTTCATCATGAAATAATATATTACGAACGGAGGATCTATCTGAGTTGTCAGAAACGAGTTATTGTAATATTTGCATGTTTAATGTTTAATAAATACAATTTTATTCATTTTTAATGATAATTGAAAATAAGCTAAAGAGAAAACTACTTATTGTTATTCCCTCATACAATTTAATATATATTAAGCTCTTAAACCTTCTTTATAATTGATTATTGGGTTGAACTTTGAATTCTTTCAATGTAACGTTCCACTAATCCAGTCTACGTTAAATGCAATTGAACGTTCAAAGTTCTTCACACAATTCGACTGAAGTAAACTAAATGAATCTCGACGAATGATTTTTTCAATTACTTGGCACATTTAAAATGAATCAACAAACTAGCATTTCAACAATTGAATTTTGTTAGTTAATTAGATAATCAATAATGCACGAGACCATCCATTTCTTATATCAATTTCAATAAGATAATTATCCACGCTTCTCTTTCTACTCTCGTTTTTTATTTTGTTTATTTCTAAGCACTTATCCTTATAATATGCTGCCCAAATGAAACAACTGAGATTCATTTATAAGCATCGAGGTTTTATTGTTGTATTACAGCAAAACAGAGTCGACTTGAGAAGTAGATGAAGCAGATTTGAGTAGTTTGAAGCTGACCACAGCGGACTTGAATGAATCCGAGCAGTCTAGGACAGACTGAAACGAGTTGGAACCTATTGAAGCGAAGCAAAGTGGATCTTTGCCTTATTGGGTTAAACAGAACCGGTAGAACACATTGAGATATAATAAAAAAATAAAATAAAAATTTAAGAACCACGAGGACAACACGTACTCGCGCACAGTTGGGTAGATCTAGTTGTTTTTCGGATAAAATAACTGAAGAGATAGAGAAAAGGCCAGAATGAGGTGGAATAAAACGAGACAGCTAGTGGGAAAAAACAACAAAAGCAAGAGCGCATGGGAAAACTCAGAGAAAGTGTTAACCCAATGAAAAGAGAAAGTGAAGAGTGTTGGGGTTCACGAGGATTTCGTTTGTAAATGCAAACACTTCAAGGGTAGCACGTTTAGCGATTAAAAGTAGTCACATGGAGAACTGGTAAAAGCATAAGAAGCAAGACATATTCTACATAAAGGCAGGAATAGAATAAAAAATTCGCAGAAAAAGACAAGGACGCGGTGATAGCGCTGTAGCTGCCACGTCGTTAAACATTTATCACATCACTTCGATGTTTCATTAATAAAATGTTCGCTAGAAGTCTGCAATAAACATAGGTTTCGAATTTAACGTTATTGCAATATACAGATCGTTGAAATAAATTAGTTGTATTATTAGAGTTGCAAATTCCATGGAATACCACTTTCCATTAGACTCGTAATCTTTTTCATATTTTGCGCATATTTCAATTTTCTCTCGCATGAATCACAAATGTTACCAACTACCGCGAATGTATTATGCGAACATTTTAATACAAATTATCGGGCACGAGAAGAATTAAATTAAACGAAAGGAAGCGTGAATTGGACGCTCAACGACACCGGGGTGGTGCGACACTTTGCGTTTGAATTTAAATTTTAGAAAGAAAAAAACTACAAGAATATTCTGTTCCCATTGCCGGCCATAAAAAGGATAAATCGGCTGTACTCGGATCATTGGAACACTTCCGGCGTTTAAAGGCAACAGCTGTTGGTACGAGAATAAAATAGAACGATACGAGACAGAGGGGTTGTTGCAATACTTACGGGCCATGGAGTTCGCGTTCGGTGTGCGATCGATGGCATCCCTTCCACGGGTCGCAAGTTCAACGTTGAATTTGCAGACTTTTCGGAGTCGGCGCGATGCCAGTTCCCCTTGAAGCGCCCTCACTGGGCATGAATCCTGCCCTCCACATTAAAATCCATCAGAATACCACGAAAGCTTGCTGTGCGATCATCCGCGATCGAACACGAACTCGAGGCTTTTTCCCCAAGAGTTTCCGATTGATCGGCATCGTAACGCGTGTACGCCGCCGTTGTCCCGGTTCCGTGGCCGGACATCATCAACGACGCTCCAGGAAGGGTTAATTCGTAAGGTGAGCAGCCAACCTTGATTCGTCCTTCACGATATTCGCTTATGATTCCACATTTACATCTGAAAAACAACATTGATGCCTTTTATTGCCAGACCTGCGGATGTAAGCGTTGCGTCACGAAGAACAATAGAATTGTACGCGTTGCTCAGGCTTCTGTGAAATTAAGTATTTACAATTTAGGTAGAACGAGGACACGCAGTCGAGAGAATCGTGTTCATTTCAATGGTGATATATAGGGATGAAACTAATTAGGATTTTATGAAAGACACAATGGAAAATTGTATGCGGAATCGTCTAGTGAAAAAGTATGTCGATAGATTGTTATCGTGGTATCGGATCCTAGAATTAAGGGACAAGGCTAGAGGGTGTCGTTGTTGGCGGTTGATAATGAAATCTGTTCGAATCGCCGTATAACTGACACTGACAACAGCATTGCAACACAAAGCACTTGCATGACTCCTTTCGAACAGCTGATTCGAAACGCAGTTGCGCCCACGCGTTGCCTACCAATGCATCACTGCTAACGCACTCGGTTGGCAAAGTATCACGACGCGACGATCGTACGGATACATTATTTATTACTTTGTACGCGGTGATGAGCATTTTTAAAAGTTCACTCATCGACCTGTGGCAGTGTAAACAAAGGTAGAGCTTGCGCTGTAGCCAGCCTGCTTCCTTTACTCATGGCGTACGGAGCTGACTGACGTACTTGGAAAAATTAACGTCGTTGAGCATGACCACGCCTCCCATAAGCTCAAGTGCATTTTAATTCGACCATGGTCTTCGTCATTTCTTGAGAACGTTGATTCAGGAATAACAACATCCGAACAGTCGACACGCGGAAAAGAAAGAATTGCTTCTTCTTTTAGTAGAACAAGAAAATTCGATTTATAGGAATGCATAGCTGAAGTCATTTACGAAAATAAGTAGCAATTGAAGTTATGGTAATCAGAGATATAGCGCGTTGAAACGGTATTGATGTACACAAGGAAAGAAGTGAATCATTACGGTGCTTATTTATTAAACGGTTTGTGATATTATTATAACTTATACGTAATGTACTACTAGTCACATTGAGGAATAATAATGTCCAGGATTTTTCAAGTGATAACCATTAAAAGTCTCTTAGTTAATAATAGATGAAAATGTCCAATGGAAGTGATTGTAATTACGAAGAAAAATGAAAAGTGTACAATGTTCTGAATTGAATTTATATCTCCAGTGTCGCTTTTCCCCGATATTTTAATGGCGTCGGTTTCAATTCATCTTCAAAACTCCTTTCACTCATCACAAAGTTGAGGACCCAATTGCAGATTAATGCTAAAATGATTTCGTAAATTTCTTCAACAGAATAAACTACAAAATTGTGTACTGTTAGTTAGTGTTGGCGTCATCCATTTCAGATGGCTTAATAAATCTGTTGTTCGTTACGATGCACGTGTTCCTAGGACTGCGTCATCGTTATATCGCACCATGTTCATGTGCTATATAGTGACACCTTTGGCCCCGTGAAAAGTTTCCATTTCGTCAAATCGTCCGTTGCGTGCGAATTAGATGAACGCCTTGTTGATTTTAGTTGACTCTAAACAGAACAAACAAATAAATAATGGACGCAAGTGGTCAGTTGAACGAAGAATGTGTGTTATAATAATGCGTTTTATCAAATGAATATTATTCTTTGTAACATGGTGGTACAATGAATAACAGTTTTAAAAATTACGTAACTACAAAAATAAATACCATAGATATACATAAGTAATTTCAAAATTATGAATTGTCATTCTAACATCTTACGAAGTAAACGATCCTTGTAAAAATAGTTTCTTCGAATCATTAAAGTCGTATAAGATATTAAGTAGCTTTCCTGGGCGTTTGTAAATGAATAGAAAAAAATATGAATTTATGATGCTTGGTTATAAACGAAGGTCATAAATAGGTTAATCACGTGACTTCCTCTGTTGGACACATGTTCACTGCCTGATCTTTTTAATCAATTCATTAAGTTCGCCGTTAATTATTTCTGGCAAACGGATCGGCTCGAGACCTCGTTGCAACTTTCTAGTGTTGCGGTAGGTCATCGACTGATTAACGTTGGCGAACACGGTCGACTACTTTTCGTTCGATTGGGATAGTCGTTACAATTCAATTTACAGCTTCCTTTTTATTATTTGGTGATTCAAATAAATTTATTTTTTAACTTAATTCTGGTATGAAAGTAAGAGTATTATGGTTTCAGATTGCACAACGGGATACTGGCAATTCTTATTTTTTTATATAAATGTATATTTACATTGTGTTATCCTGCTTATTACTCAATTGTAATCTATCAATCTTGAAATGAATCTTACGAGGCAAGCACGACTTAATTGAGAATTTAATAGTAGGAATACCAATAATGAAAAACATAAAATTACGTTGGTCTAAATGTTTCAGGTTTTAATTTTTTGGTTAGCAAACGTCTAAATATTTTGGTTTTGTATTTTTCCATTGAATCTTATTTCGTTAGAAATCTGAGAAACACGGACGATCACTGCAAACTTACCCCGCGTCATTGTAGTTCTCAGTGATGTTCTCGCCGGATGGATTGACCTTGGAAAGGTTGTTATTTTCGTGCTCGATTACTCACGGCTCACGATCGGGTGTATTGACACCATAATGTGGACGGAAAAGAACAAAGACACACAGAATTCATGAGTTTACTTTCTCTAAGTGGTAATTAACAGGTTGATCAACAACAGGGCTTTTGTAGATGGTTTACTAACCAACTCATTTACTTTATTTATACGATTATTGATTTCTACTGACCTTTCCGCATCAGATAAAACATAATTAAGTTGTCACGATACAGTTATTAATTTAAAAAGCATTATTAATGTAGCTCAATATTCTCTCACGAAATTGTTCAATACATTTAGCCTATAAATTTTAGATATAAAATAATGAACCTTTTAATGTACAATGATACTTTTGATAATCCAATATAATATTTAATAAGTAACATTAGATAATATTTATATAAAAATATAATTTGATATCTAATAAAGCTGTTGAATGTAATATCAGTTCTTGGTACTTAATATATCATCTGCAACTGATAAAGAAGTTGAGTACTGATACAACAGACAATCTAGTGTCATTAGACGGGCAAGGGGAGCGATGTGTTGTTTTGCGTGGAAACCAGCCAAACTGGTTCCATGAACCTGAACATGCCATAACAAGTCGTTCGTTTGAAAAGTGAAACGAATCTTAATGGTTTACGTAATATTCAATGTTTCGGTTTCCATGTTCTTTGAACGTCTCTAAGGATACGTAGCACTTTTTTTAGCTGATCCATAATCAGTGATTGCATTTGTAACTGACCTATACCATTCATTGTAGAAATAAAGCATAACAACAGAACTTCAATTTCATTTTACAATTATTCGAACTATCTAATATTTTATTACTCTTTTTTAGTTATTAATGACTTGGAAACAAAATTGAAACCGCAGATTCATTACACTTGATTTTCGTTTTGTTTTGACGTGTACAATCATCCCCAAATGAATAACCACCATGACACACAATCTGTTTTGTAATTATATGAATTTACGGGACGCGAATATATTAATTTAATTAATGTACACAGGTAGTAATATTTTCTCCACGCGTTGAAACAAGCGAATGGGAGCAACAGAAAACGGAACACGCTAACGAAGACATGCAATCGTTAAACGACATCTCCAGTACAACGATTATCATTACCGGTTCCTGTTTGTGTAACTGTATTATTGAGGCCCACCGTTCTACTTCAGTTAATTAATTAAGTTATACAGATAAAACTGAAGTGGACATTCACCTTGAATCCTATTCGCATTTTTTTTTAACAGAACTGGTTAGCAATTCCGATAAAGGTGCCCAAATATTGATAGAAATAAATCTGGACTCAAATGTATATCAGGAACAAGTAAAATTAGCATGTGTTTAACAGTTTCGCGACGGGTAATTCTTGAGTATATTTAATTTCGGGGAGATGACGACTTAGTACATGCATGAAACAGCCGTTTCAACTGATAATACGAAAGTTCAAACAAATAAACAAAATTTTTACCGCTGACGGTGCCAAAAATCTTCTTCAAAATGTCCGCAATGCAGTATTTCGGAATTACGAATCGCTAAAAGGGTAATTCAATTGTCACGTTGAATGGAAATCTATCAGAGAGAGATTCGCATGCACCCTTTTCGACTGTATGGAAAAAAAACGTTTTAAATACGTAGGATTAAATAAATTTCAACGTCGAAAGAAGAAAATATTAATAATTCAATACTGATAACGATAAGAATGAATATTCTAGTCGTAATGGGGATACAAAACATATTAAAAACAGTGTTGTTTCGTTTCGGAAGAAACTAAAAGTAAAGTAAAAATTTCATTACACATGAATGAAATTTTTATTTCAACGCGTCTTATGCAATTATGCATGCGATTATCGTGTGCAGTCCTCAGTCGAGGAACGTTACAAGCAACCTTCATTTTGCTATGTTTAGAAGCTTGACTATAAAAATGCAATTTTTGCATAAACATCCATAGTCTGTTTATAACGTGTTAGGGTAATTTAACGGGAAGGTGTAACGGTACGAGTCACGGACATACCATTAGAGCAAGACTTTCGGTTGCAGTGTTTTATTAGAGCGATTTTCTATTTGCTACCTGCTAGCCCAAACAATACAGGTTGTCATGGCGAAAGGCATCGCGCGTAACAGGTACCGTCATTAAACTGACGTTCACGTGATGCCTTTCAAGGTGTCCAATAAACTGCCACCGTGTTGATTCATCTTCCGGTTGATTATCGTCGTATGGATGTATCGCTTAATTGTACCGATTAATTTCTAAATTTTCTTAAATTAGAAATGTTGAAATGAAAAAATCGAGTAACGGCGATGGTCCTACCTGTTTTTCAGGTCGAGTTCTATTTCTGACCGGTAACTGTAACCACAGTTGCGGCAAGTCCTCTTCTAGATCTATCATCGATCTAAAATGTGTGTAATGTAAGAATAGAATGAATGTTCTAGATAGATAATGAATGAATAAACGTATGCTAAGTGGAAAGCTTATTATTTATAATTGGATATAAAAGGAAGTGTATGCTTAAAGATAATCGAGTAAGTGAATAGAAGTCGGAATCAGTAATCAGGATAGTATCCCCAATTTTATTGATAATTTAGCTCTACGAAGACTCGATGGTATCTTATTATTGATTAATATCTCTGCCATCGTTGCTTATCAATATTGCACATGATGTATTCGGGATAACTTTTAAAGAGTCGATAATAATCAGTTATTTAACTTCACTCATGTCAGTGCAGTTCAAAGTTCGTCGTAGCTCGTTGAAAATGACAAATACAACATCATGTATCGAAAATTTTGTCATTGATATCATGTTCACTTTATCAGTATTAGTTCACACTTACATTTAGAATTTTCTTTTACCATTTGTCGGTGTAAATCTACAAGCCAAATACTTCCTTAACATTAAAATGAATTTCTCACGAAGTATCTTCAATTGTCTCCCCTAAAATGACTTCGTACGTATAACAAATATAAATGAGTTTATTTTACAAATAAAAAATTCTCTTGAAACGTTTTAGATCGAGTCGCATCAATTTACTTTCGCATCAAGTTATCATTCACAATGTTTTCAAGTAGCTGATGACTATTCTAAGTCAGACTTCCTCAATATTAACGTTTTAGATCAAGTCATCAATTTACTTTCGAATCAAGTGATCATTCATAATGTTTTCAAGTAGCTGATGGCTATTGTAAGTCACAGGCTTCCTCAAAGCCTAAATTCTCATTAAATATTTTACATTGACTACCCTAGAATAAAATGGTTTCGCGCGTGGCACACGTACCTACTTATGTAAGTCAATTCATTCTCGAATAAAAAATTCTTTTAGAATATTTTAGATTGCGTAATGTCGATTCAGTTTAGAATAATATCATCGATGAAGTTTTCGAAAGCAGTCGGTAGCTGTCAGGGGGTAAAAATGGCCCGAAACACCACGGGCATTGTACTCACGGGCAGCGAGAGCGTGTCGAGCGGAGCGGGTCGGCCGAACACGCGGATGCCTGCTGATGTGCACGTGATTCCAGCGTGCCACGGTTCCACGGCATCGACCGACTTCCCCCCCTTTCGCGTTACACCGATGCAGTCACACCGACTCCGCACCTTGCTATTTATGAACATCAATTTCACGGTAAAAGCACGGTTTTCCCTCTTTTCCAATGGGGATTATTCATAACCAAATAAAGCCCCGGCGAAACGCGGTTCGTACAATTTTGCGAATCCACGATTTCAAGATGCACGCCCGCGTGTATGCATCAACTCAGCGCATTCATCGCGTTCTTTGTCCTCTCTCTGTAAACAGTCAATGAAGCACCGTTTACATGAAAGAAATTGTGCTATTAATTTTGTAGGAAATTCAAAAATAGTCTGAAAGAAGCACTACTCGTGAGATCATCTGATAAACTCGTGTTTTCTATTATGGAAGTAGTGTAAACCTTTGTTTTTAAACGGAGAGAGAGTTTTAGTCTAAGCTATTTAGTGTTACTTTATCAAATGAAGTCTTACGATTAATTTCTTTTCAATTTGCAAAGTGGGAATGGAGCACTGTTAAATTTAAGGTGAAATCTTCGGTTTTCCTTTCTTTAGAAGGGTGAAAGCATAATTCGCCTCTTCCGCTCGATGAAGAGTTGCTTAAGCGAAGAAAATCTATGAGAACGTGTTATCAATTTTCTGCATATTTCATGAGAATTCTTCGTTTTTCCTCGAGTAATCGCGAGGATTCTATATTTTCGGAGTAATATAATCCGATAGATAATGGGAAGTTTTATAATCAGTTTTAATAATACTTGCAAAAATTCCAAGTCGCAATGACTCCTCCGCAATGACCGATAGCGCAGCAGAGCAACGCACAACGATTTGTTTATTCTTCGTCGGTTTGATTTATCTACGCACGTGTATCGGGAAAGCCTGCAAATATCAGGTATAAATTTAGAAGGTGTCTGCAGGACTTTGCACGCTTATTTTCAAGTATTCGTATCGGCAATAGTATCACAACTAGTAACTGTCTTTACGAACAAAATACTGTTGTTCAGTCTATAATTTATAAGACTGCGCAGAACATCTGTTCACTTATAAATGAAAATGCGAGCGCCACTTTCCCGTTGCGTAGTGCACTGTAAACATGTTTACAATAATAGAACACTTGAACCAAAAAGAAGAAATTGTTTGTAAAGTCTAGAAGTGTAATAAATCAGTTCAAGATATCGTCGTAAACGGCAGGCGCGTGTACAAAGCGGCTACTATCCTCATTTTCCTTAACGTTTATCGATAACCGTGGATTAAAGTTATTTCTGAAGCACCGTCGCAGCAGCAATCTCTGTGGCTTGCGGTATGATAAACCGTCTAAAAAAATGCATCCCTTGTTTTTCGATAATTTCGATATTTTTATCCTGAGTCGTTATTTTCAGCTTCTTGTAGATCACGATTATAGAAATCACTTTGCGTCTTTCCAATCGTCTACCCCTGCCGGCTGCAGGCGTACTTTTTTTTAGAGTTACACTATAAATTTGTACATAGGTACGCGCAATAATACTTGTACAACACGCGAGGGTTGAAATGACCTGTTTTGATTCGCTGCGGCGAGCACTTTTTACTACGAGGGTAGTTCTGGATTGAAAGAAGGAATTATTAATATATGATTAGTTATAACTTAATATATATGAATGCAAATTATAAATATTTTGATGGATCATTCATATACTTTGAAATCGTGAATCGGTATTACTCGTTATTAGATATTATTAACTTTCGTAGTGGTCATTTCATTATTGTCATTATTTTATGTTAATTAAATAGGATTAGCCGACGAATGCTAAAAAAATTGACGACCAGATAAAGAAACATTGCAGGAAGTTCTGCATTCGCGTTTTCGAGGTACGCAAATTTTTTCTGATGCATCAATCGCTCCATTGTATCGATCACGTAATGGACACGTGGCCGCGCAAAATGGCAGTACGCAGCGAAAATACCTGTGATTGTTGCACAAGATTTCACGGTGGGTCTTTTTCGAAGAAGGCGATGCGTGTCGTCGACTCTAACGGTGAAAAACAGATAAACGTATTTTTTTAATCCCGACTGTGGAAAGTCTGGTATCACAAGTTTCCGCGTACCGCATAGTTGTTTCTGTCCTCCCGTTGGGAAGGAAGCTAATCTTCCTTATTGATTAAATCTCGAGTGTCGATAAAGTACTTTTCAAAGTAGGTGGACTCCCTCACTGAAAGAAATTAAAATCGTATCGGTTTTCAAATTGGTCCTCTTAAACACGGTGCTCTTCGATTAAAAAGTCAAGTGGAGTTTCGATTATGAAATTATAATTCGTGATCACGCGCGATGTATAATAATTGGAAATTCCAGTTGCGGAAAAAATAAATAGAGGATATCGATCACGAATTTCTCACGTGACGTCCGTTTTCGAGGAAACGTAGTTTAAAGTTGTCTATTCATCGAACGCTTAAAGAGCACTGCCTATTTATGAGCAATGATTGTACACGCATTAACACGATTACAGATAATGTTGCTCGAAGCAACTGTGCTAATCTGAAGGTTAACAAAGTACTCTTAGACATCAGCTAACAATTGACTCATCTGACTAATGCGAAAGCTAACAACTGAGGCTCTAGTTATTGGCTAGATTATTCTGTATTTACGTGGATTCTATCCGCCTAGCTGTCTTATTAGTCAAATATTTTGTTCGTCGACTTATTTATAAAGCATTATGCAACGACAGATTCGCGGGAGTCTTGTACTTGACGAACAATGAATATTTCAATCAAACATAACAATGAACACTTTTACAAAATGCAAATCACCTATTCCTTTCAATAGTGACAACAATGACATTACTTTGTTACGCTCAAGATCAATAAACTGGCGGGATTGAAATGACAAACGAGACAGAAATAACGGTGAATTTTCCGCCGCAGCGAATAATAAACATTTCCTTAAGAGTCACGAAACGTGTACTACTCTTCCTTGAAACCAAGGCCATTTTTGTAAAGCAGCCTATTGTGCAGCCAACGAAGGATATTATGACAGTAGGAAAGCAACACCTTGCCCAACGTAGCATAAAGATATTCCCTCCTAAATTAGTTTCCCCTTTGGGGTTCTGAGCATTTTTTAAGCCTTAATTGGCTCGGGCACATAAAACACGCATACGGTAATTTATACTGGATTTATTAATAGAGCTTCCACGTAGGTGGATACTAAACATTTAAAAACATCGGAGGAAAGTTATAAAATTCGATTTTTAGAAGTATCACTTACGATAATTGCTAACAAGTTCAATCATTTATTTTTCATTTCCAAGTAAGAAAATTACCAACGTCATAGGTTTGTTATTAACTACATTGCTACCTTCAAGTATATGTAACAAGTATATTAATAATCAGAGAAGAAAGTATAAGAATTCCAATAATGTTGTTTCATTTGAAACAAGAGTTACAGATATTCGATTAAGTCCAAGCTTTCTATTTGTCTGAGTCGCGTGACAGAATCGTCCGAGGAAAATAGAGCTTTGCGCATTATGCAAGCTATTCAAGGACGCCTCCAGGAACAATTTCCTCCGACACCTGTACTGCAGCGTCTTGTTACAAGCTGTTCCAGCATCGCCGGGGGCGATCGTTTCCGGGATTCAGATAAACTAACTGTCGACCGTTTGTTTCCGCGACAGGACTACTAATTTTACATATGCAGATAAAAACGGTGCGATGGCGAAGAAGCGCGATAGATGAACGCTAATAGGCAGAATTAGTTAGGTAACAGAGGAAATGTAGGCGTTGACGTTATCTTTTAATACTACTGGGTGCATCGCTGTCTGTTTAGCAACAAACAACCGCCCTATAATCTCTTTATTAACTCGTCGATTAAGCTGCTGATAGAATTGTTGTGTTGTCTATACTGTCGTTTTACGCAATCGAAAATGATGGAAAAAGGAATTTTCTGTGAAATCGACTGGAAGTCAGATCACTGAATCACATTCCCAAAATTCATCTACTTAGAATTACTCAACTACGCGTGCGATTCGACGCTGATTTAATACAGCAGTCGGGCTACTGAATTTTAATGAAGTTTCGATATCTCCGACACGACGGGTGCCCCGATCAAATTTCGAATCAATGGAGTCCCCATAGAAATGACCCACAGCTCGTAAATCGATTAAACAGAGCAGTCCCTTCGCGTTGAATATTTAACCTAGATTTTTGATGATCTTGAAACGATAGCAGATGGCTGCGTACGCGCTCGTAGTTCCGTGTCAGGGACACTGAATGCGAACGAGCCATAACTATACGTTACATTTACTCGCGCTTATTTGTTAAACAATTTTTCAAACTTTTTCCAATCAAGACAATTTCTGTCGCGTAAACATATTTTCGAGCTGCTGTTTGCTTTTGAAACTCGTAAATCTATCGTTGTCGGTGTTATCGGTATCGATGGTAATGTGCAATTTAAAAGACATTAGGCACGGTGTCGTGTGTCCCATGCAGTTCGCGACGCGGATCTATGTGTGTCGTTCTCCATGGTGTTTACACGAATCTTATCTAAATTATTCTAGAAAAATTTGTCCGTGACGTAGCTGAACGTTCGATAAAAGCAAGGCGTGTGTCGCTCTATTGATAAGAGTGATATCATTGGTTCATCAATAGTAAACACGCATACGTGCGGACACGCACTATTCCCATCAAAACAATGGATCGCGAATCCTCGTGGGTGCATCTGCGTAGATCAGCTTACGTGCCGAACGACACACGGTGCTACCATGTTGGAATTAGGGTGAATAATTAATAATTTTCATCGTCGGTGAGGGAAGTGTGGATTTTTTCAGAATAGCAAGTGCATTCATAGCATTTTGAAATGAACGAAGTGTAATAAACTGAGGATTTTGCTATTATCTACTATTCTATTGTTTTGAATCATTCTACTATTGTTAAAACTAATGACTTACTCGATTTCAGATAATTGAACTACTGTGACCGAAAATATTGCGAATTTGATCCTTGAATTTGAAAAACTGAATTCTCATTTACATTAATATTTCATCCATTATATAATTACCATTGTTTAGACATTCACTTTCAATTGAAACAATAGCTACGTAACAGTAATTAGTAGTGTTTATGTAGATTGAATGATGATTGTGATAATAGGCTTGCCGAGAACACAAAAAATATAAAATATTTATTATCGCACCGTTTAAAGATAATAAAAATTATTCAAGGAAGCCTGAGATAATAGCTTGAATATCTGAAACGGAGGAAGTGTCATGTACACTATGAGCAGCTTTTAAAACATTGATCGTTCGAATCGTGTTTAGAAAGATGATCAATCTCTTGATCAAATTATTTGTATAATATGCGGAAAATTAAAATGTTCTAACAATGATAAACATGTATAAATAACTGCACATTGTGCTGGTTATTGATTTCTCCGCGCGTCAATTTCTGCTGCAAGAATAGAACGTCTGATCGATGAGCGGACTGTTTAATTAAATACCGCCTATGTTTAGTATTACCTTCATAGTATGAAAATTGAAATGTTAATACATATTCACGGTTTCCTTAGATTTTAGAAACATTAATTTAGTTCGTAGACTAAACAATAGGTAAGCAACACATTACATAGATAAAGTAAATACTATCTGCCTTCTTAATACACCTATTGCTATACAGATGACACAGACTTATTTTTTTAATACAGAAATTGAACAATACAGTTGCCTCTTATCGAATACAGTCATCCTGAAAAGATCAAGGTTTAACCTTTGATTGTTCACAATGATAGCACGACGCTAACACAAAGATACATTACAAACTGATTGGTAATAGACTGCACCCAAAAATTGACTGAACGAAATCTTTCGCTCTGAAATTACAAAATTAAATTAAGCTTATGAAGTTGGAAAAATTACAAAAATTTTAAACTAATATGGATAAGTATGTACAAATACTATCCATTTTCCTGTTTAACTTATGTAAACTCAAGTACGCAACAAAATTGCGTGAGCAATCGGTTAATTTCGGGACAAACATATTTCAATTTACATACGCATGCAAATATGTACCTTACGAATTGTATCATGCATGCTATAGCAAATTGAGGTGTACAACGGTATTCAATAAAAGAAATAAACGATACAGTTATAACATAAACAACTAGCAATTAAATCATACTACACATTAAAAGCTTTATGACCTACGAACAACACCATCGAAAGAAGAATATCTCTTTCCTCTTCAATCGTTTATTAAATTTCTTAATTCTTACTTACACGGCACAAATAAGTTCTTTTAATTTTTCTTCAGTAAATAAGACTTAAACCGAAATCTTTCGCAGTTCAGAGACCATAGCTTCCGCGTACATCGAATAATTTGTATTTTCCGTTTAAAAAACTTCATCTAAAACCGAGGATGAAACAGAAGTCGATCTATTTCGAGTTTCTTTATCAAGAGTAGAATGTTCCTGTACCGAACACTCGATTCAGCGTGGAAAACGTTCAATCTTCGAGTCTGCAACTTTGTTGAAGCACCCCTTCCAGTGGCATGGGGTTCGTCATCACGACGAAATAGAGGGAGAGCAAAGAGTGAGAGAGAAAGGGAGGGAGAAATGAGAAAAAAAAGCTAACACGGCCTATCTGCGCCTCATTCATGCGTGTATCACGACACGCTGGACGAATGTGCGGGCGTCTGTACACGAGAAAAACAGCAGTTGCACGTGGCTCGTGAATGCTCGTATATACCTGCTCACGTTCTGTTTCTTCGGCCCCCTCTACCGTGGCCTGTTTCCAGCTGCCGTGACTAACGCAGCAACCTCTCTGGGAAAGCTCGCGAGGGTATAAAAGTGGCGGCGCATCGTCGCGTTCAGCCAGTGCGTCTCGGACGAACGCCGAGGAGCTTTTTCGTGCTTTGTTCAAGTGTATTCGTTGAGATCAGCATTTTTTTGAAACTTTCGATTTCGAACTAATCGAGCTTATCCCGATCAGAAAACAGTCGTAGGACTTCGATTTCGAATCGCGTTGGGGTCGAGTGTTTGAAACATCAGGTTCGAACGAGGGAAACCGAATTTGTGACAGTTTCCGGTTCGAAAGACCCGCGGAAGGAGGGCTAACTGTAAACAGCTATCGAGAATCTAGCGGAAGAAAAGAATCGTTCTAACATGCCTGTGGAATTGGAATCGGTGGCACCGGTCACTCACAAATCGTGTACACCTTGTAGAGGGTACGCATTCGATGAACTCTTTTTTCTTTGGTTTCCTTTGGTTTTCTTTCGTTTAATTGTTTTATGCGTCGAAACATTGAAAATTCGGTCTGGTATTCGAGGAGTTTAAAGTGGTAGTCAGTCTGCATATGCGAAAGGAGTTCTTGTTAGATTACAGAGCATTGTTTAATTAATCAAAATATAAAGATTGGAATAGGAGAATTCTATAGGATAGACGTTGCGTTTCTATATTGTTTTAAGCAGTGAAAAACGCAGCTTGTGGTGTATACCAAGTGATTTCATAAATGACGTGTTTCTTGTTTAGCTTTGAATGAAACAAAGTTAAAGGTTTTGAAATAAAGAAGTCCTGGTCCCTTTGTCAACCTTTTTAAAACAATGAAATCTAAAAATAATCTTTTTAATGTATTTCTACAATACTTGACTAACAGATTGAAAATAACATCGTTATAACAATGTATCATAACAAATTTTTCATAAGCATAGAACTCGTTGCTCAATCGTGAATTCGACGTAGTTTTTAAACATTTGCATAGTCTTTGAGACTGTATGAAATCATATTGGATGTAAGGAGCAACAGCTGACTGCCACAACGACCGAGACGTAATGGATAAACTGAAGTTAATGACAGGCTTCCATCCGTTATGCTCGAAGTTTATAAACGTGACGTCTTGGCCTCGTATTATAGCTATTAGCAATAGCTAGAACTTGTAGATACTTGCTGCTATAAATACTCCTAGGCGAATGTTTGGAAATCGTTCTTGGATAAATCGTTATTTCTTCATGAAACGAACTCATTATACGTGTAATCAAAGTAATAACGATACAAATGCAATAATCTCACAATTAAACAGAAGAAAAAAAAGTTATTTATTCTATTCAAGTCTTTTGCATAATCTTCTTTCTTGGAATATAACTCAACGAACATAGAAAAGTTAATTTCTCCTAGTACATAATTACAACTGAGCCGTCCGAATCGACTAATAGCTATCAAATCTTACGTGTACTTACAATTCGGAATTCTCTTGCACTAAAGTAAATTGACAAAAAGGGAAAATGTTATTTACAACTCAGAGTAATCTGTTAACAGCGCACACGCGTTTTGTAATTATCTTTTCACACTTTCTAACACCTAATTCATCCCAGAACCTATATCCAAAATTTTCATTACACCCTGTACATCGTCCACAAAACAACTTCCCTGGAACATGTCTCCAAACTTTGTATCATGTATCACCCCATCCCCTACTTCAAAACTCGCCATCCTATCCAAACCGAAGTCTTAAAGGATCTTACCCCGTTTCAGGGAAGAGAAGATGAATAAGCTATGCAAGCAGGTGTCCATCGAGAGCCCGAGCATGACGGGCCGTAACTGGGTGTTCAGTTTTGACGTTCCTGTTCCGGATGTCCCAGCACAGGGCGCCAGGATCCGAGTGGTGTGTGCAGGTGCCTGCTACCATCCGCGTCGCTCGCCCAGCTTGGGCAGCTTGACATCTGTCTCCAGTGGTAGCAGTTTGGCCACGGAAGTTTCAGTGGAAGGCGACTTCCCTGTCTCCTTGCCACATCACGGGGTTCGAGACGCAGCTTTGTTCCCTGGCTACGAAGTCGCTGGGGTGATCGAGTCGCTGGGTGCTAACGTTGCTGAGGATTGCGAATTCGTGATTGGAGACAGGGTGATCCTCTATCCTTATGAGGGCATACCGAACGGATACGTGGAATACCTGGTGGTCCACGACCTGAAATATCTTATCAAAATCCCGGACAGCGTGAGCCTGAGTGTAGGAGCCATGTTACCAGCCGGTGCATTGTTAGCTATGAACACCGTCTTTGCTGCTCACGAACACGTCCAAGCACTGTTGAAGCAAAGAGGCGAAGATAGCGTCTGCAAGATCCTGATCGTTGGTACTGGCGGTCTGGCTCTTTGGGCCCTTAGAATTGCAGCTTACCACTTCAGCAATATGAAAGACAGAGTCACCATCACCATCGCCTCGTTGAAGGACGATGGACTAACCATGGCTCAGGAGTTTCAACGGTGAGTTACTTTGGAGGCTCGTTGCGTATCGATGTTCTGTAGGTTCAGGTTGATTAGTGTTTGTGGATATTGTTGAAAGACGACAGTCCTTCGGGGTTTGCGAGGAAAAGAGTATTAGTTATTATTATTAATAGTTGATTTTGTGTTCTATATTTTTGTATGTACGTGTTACGGTTCTAGTTCGGCACTGTCGAATTCATAGATCCAGTTTCTATGTCTTGTGAAAGATAGATTATTCTGTTTGATACTAATAGACTTTTCTATTCGTAACTAGGTCTTCCATCGAGTTCTGTCGTCTTTCGTAGATCAGTAGCGTGTTGCGTATTCAATTGTGAATCACAAGATTCACTCGTTGATCTCTGAACCGAAAATAAACATTCCTACTCCGATGTTTGTCGTCGTAACGATCATACTTTTATTATTACAAGAAATCAATCATATTGATAAATGAACGATAATTTTATTATATTAAGTACCCGTACTTGACACATCTTGACTATGATAAATGTTACGTAAAGTCTTATCTCTCAACTGTTTTCCTAGCCCGTTTGTTTACGCAACACGTTGTGCACTTAAATATCGTTTGATCCGATAAAAATGATAAATAGTGCCTGTTTGTCACGTTAGTTGTTGTTCACCGTGTTCTGGTTTTTAATATGCACCTTCACGTTGCTCTTATGTTTGCACGTATAACGTTTAGCACTTAATTGGCTGAAGTTGTAGAATATGTGTGTAGGCGGTAATAATTATTAAACACAATTGAAGAGGAAGAATCTGACGACAGTCTGGATAGGTCAATTCGCGGAGTAATCACTTTGACTTTTTTTATCTTAGCTTGCTGCAGTAAATGCGTCATAATTGACCCGTGATATTTTCTGAAAGTTTTTTATTCAAGAAGCAAACAGTTTTAGAATTGGTATAATATTGAAATCGATACTTGAAAAAAGAAAAATATTAAAACAGTTGGTTTTAATATTTACTCCAACAATTCTCATAATTACTTTTCAATGATCAAACATTAAAATGTGAAATTAAATTCGGAATGATCCGATCGACTGATTCCTTTCTTCCTCCTTCGTACACTCAGCGAAACGATGACTGCTCAAAGAATTCTTTGTTTATTAAATACTTTGCTTCACAACAAATACTAAGTGACTTCGATAGACCCGATAGAATATATCTTTATTCAAATTACTCCAACATCGATAACCGACAAACCCATAGCGGTCACCGTTTCAATCGCTTGAACGCTTCGAGAAGTTCCACAAACCTCGCAGAAAAGTAGCTAGCATCGAATCCCAATCAATCAGCATCCACCGGTCAGGCCATTCGATTTATTCACAAACAGTCTCCTCTTTGAATACAGAGTGAACGTGGTCCAATGGAGCGAAGATCTCTACGAGAAACAGTTGATCGAACGCACAATGGACGCCTGCCGTGGCCACGTGGACGTGGTGATCGATTTCGGCACGACATCCCGCAGCCTACATCGCAGCATGCAGTGTCTGAGCAAGGGTGGCGTCGTGTTCGTGATCAAGGAGGTTGCCGATCGACTTCTGCCGAAGTTCAGCAAACGGGCCGAGGATTGGCAGCTGAGCATCAAATCGGTGGAACCCGGCACCCTCGAACAGTTACGGGAATTAGTGAAGCTGGTGTCTTCTGGTGAGATCGAGCCACCGCCACACACCGTCTACCCAGCTGAAGACGTCCTGGACGTGGTACAAAAGCTGTGTCACTCGGAAATCCAGGGCCGCGCGATCTTGCGCTTCTATCCGGCCGATTAAGGGCTCTACCCTGGAGGGTAAGATTTTAGGCGCCAAGCAGATCGGCGCGAAACTTTTGAACACGAGAAAAAAGATCGACGAAACGGATTAGACCGGATCATTAGACGATTCGTGACTGAAGTTTGAGATTTACCGAGCGATGGCCATTCTCGCGACGTTTCTTACCCGCGCGGGAATACCTCGATGACTCCCCCGACCGATGGATCGGTGAAGGGTGTTTCTCGCGTGCATGATTCACGCATCCAGAGGAGTTGATCACCGATGAGGAAAGTTTTGTGGGGAATTGCGCGCGGCAACGATTTGTCTGGATCGATTGCGGATCACTGTTAAGTAGATAACTGTTCGATGCGTCCTCTGTTTCCTTCAGCAAATATAACGAGGCGGATCATGGCGGAGCGTCTCCAGCCATCTCACGAGATCGTACTATCATAGTTGAGTAAGATTAAGCGAAACGGTGACGTCATGTAAAAGTTTCTATAGTAGAGGATATTTGAAGCCGATGTAACCGATCGCGCGACATTTGTTCATACCATGTTCGCTTTCACTCGAGACCTACCAATCGAATTACGGTACCGATGTTTCATTCTTTCAACGGACGAGATCGCTGCGATATGGTGGAACGTTCTGCGTTTAATGCTCAAGTTTGTTTGGTCGGATAACGATTCCCAGCAATCGCGAGATAAAGCGACAAAATCGCTTGCTCTCCCGATAAATCATGGTATATCCGTGAGATTCGTTAGGAACACTCTGCTATTCTATTCCGCGAATCATCCGATCGTTGGACGGAGTTATCGATTGAACGATTCACCGATCGCGAGTCCCGATCGTTAACCCTTTGAGTGCTGAATACTTAAAGCCGAAACGTTCCATGTGGACGGAATATTTTTTTGCTCATCTGGAGATCGATGAATTATGTTAATTCATACAATTAATTAAGTTGTAATTAAATTGTAATTGTAATTTCTCTAGTTCACCGTACTGAATAATGCTAAGAAACGCGTATATTAATCACATACACTGGCAATTATCGTCACGGTACTTGTCAGATTAAAAACATCGAAAAACGCATATATGCATTCACACTCTGCCGCGATGATTTTCACCGGATGCATATATACGTCTACAGCACCCAAAGGGTTAAGGCTCTGACAGATTCGATAGCGTGAGTTGATAAGAGTACGTCAGATCGGAGTGAACATTAATCGTGTAACATTAAATTATTCGACGTCAATTGAATTCTAGTTACTATTATAGTTTGGTGTTTCGCGAAATGAGACGCCAAGTCCGGAGATGTTGAAGAACCTTGTAACCAGACCGCATTCAAACGACTTAGACCGTATTCAGAGTGCATTTTCAACCTGTAACGATTGTATATTCGAATCGTACTTAAAAGTGCGGAAGTGAAAGCTGTCTTTTTCCTAGGATTTGATGGGAGCAAACGTCATATCTGCGATTTCTGTAATCAAGCTGCGGGAATATTGGTTTAGAGCTGTTCGTGATTGTTTTGATAGTCTTCGTTTCTGGTTCACGCATAATTTAATATTTATAAGGGACTGCTTCGCATAATTGACATGAATAGGCGAGTTATCGTTAGACAACAGTATTCCTTCGACACCGTTGCGCTAGTTAATGATAAGTTAATCGATCGTTCGCGTGCTAATAATTTTAAGTGCGAGTCAATTGATCGCATTTGATATCGGTGTTGTTAAGTCACCATACCTCGAAAGACTGTTTTCTTTATGTA